GACAGTCTACTTTTGTGTGCTTGAATCGAACTAACCATCTCCGCTGTCGAGTTCCATTTCAGCTTCGCCTTCAGGTTTTTCCAAATTTGATGAGGGAAAGAAAGTAAGTTTCTTCCGTTTGTAAGCCTTCATCGCATTTGGAGCCAAATTTTGCAGCATTGCTATTTTACTGTCCTGTAAGGACAAGGATGGGAAGCCGAATTGTTCGCCTTCCTGAAAAAACATAACAGATGTAATGTTGAGCATGCTGCCTCAATGTCAGTGTGTGAGATGCGCAGTAGTACCGCATATTGATAAAATACATTCTTTAAATTCTTGTTGGTTATTTCTTTTTTTGCAACAAACCTCTTTGTATCTAGAACTGGCGGGAACATTGAAACCAGGGAAGTCGTAGATCTTTTTAATATCAAACTTGTCTTTAGAACCAGGCTCGCATACTTCACCATCTTCCTCGTCAAGTTCTGTTATTGGATTACCCTGAAAAATCGCTTTGATATTACATTGTTACTGGTGGTAGGACTTTTGTTAGGCCTTATGAGTAGGTACCACCAATCTATGCCTATTTTTTCTGTGAAGCAGTAATGCGTTTCAGTTTGAAAGGTGGGGCCGCCGTTGTACTGTAAAACTAAGAACTTAAACTCATATCTCCAGGTGAACTGATATTTACGTTCTAGATGTTTATGGGCTCCAGTAACAAATTAATAAGAGGTGGGTTGTGAGCTCGTCCACTCTTCTAGCAATAAAAAACAACTAAAAAAACCTATACTTTTATATACATTAATAGATTTACAATTAATCTAGATTGAACTTCCATCTGTCTCTTGGTTATAATTTGTTATTAATGTTATTATAGATATATTACTATGAGGCATAAGGCATAAAACACCTTACCATGATAGCATTTATTTATTTACAAAACTATCCCTGAAAAAACTTATTGATAAGAAAAATTTAAATGTTATTTCTGCCTACGCATGTTATTTTAAAGGTTTGTTGGGAATCTCAAATTATTGAATATTATTTGAAGTTAAAATTAAAAAAAAAAAAAATATCTTACAGAAGAATCAAACATTGTTATTCCAGAATGTGATATCCGAGCTTCCTCTAGCCATCCTGGCGGATACCCCAACACCCTCATGCGATAAATATGCATTGGTAATTCGTGTCTCTTCAAACCTAATGCGTGTCGAAGTTGTCCAGAAATACGGCCAGGCACCAAGTGCCCATACTTTTGTTCATCTTCCACATGGTAACGGCTGGAATATTATAATTTTATTTTTTAAAACATTATTTTATGTAGCTTGCAGGACATTTTAAACCATTTTTGCTGATGATCTACACTAATTGCAATTAAGTATGAGCTTGTATGCCCTACTTCATAAATGTAGATTAATGATATTTTATCAGTATTTGGTGAATTACTTAGCAAGAAGATAAAGAGGAGAAAGATTAATGTATACTCAACAACTATTTCAGAAGGTATAATACATGCTGGTATTTTGGGAGTTCTGTGCCACAGATTGACGATTGCCCTATCGTGGTTATGACATGAGCAAACAAAAAGTATATTAATGAATATTATTAGGCAACAAAAAAAATATTGAATAAAACTGTATAACTGTTTTTCAAATTTATATAATAATTCAAATTGAGAAATCTCTCCTTTCTATTCCTCCTTTTTATTTCAAGTCAATTAACTATACTTAACAAGCAGTCGTTGCATAGAAAATTTGTACTGAATTATGTTTTATAATAATGAAAAAAGTTAAATAATAACAGTTTTGTAAATCATTTATTAAATTATTGTTTTGATTGAGATTATTACATTATTAAATAAAATATTTGCATTTACTCACCCAACCTTCGTGAAATTACGCCGTTGTTCGGCTATTCGAATTGCATCTCTAGGCTGTTTGCATTCTCTCAAAGCATGGCTACCATCACAATTAAAACAAATTGGACCTCGTTTTAACGGGCGGACTGAATTCAATGGCAACTCTGTTTCCACATTATCTGATATTAAGTTTGATCCCTGAAATATTGCAATGATTTGATTATTTATGATGCTCATTCTTAATTTATTTATATATTTTTTTAATAAGAAATAAATGCGTCAAATACAGCCTCAATAATAAAAACTGTTTGAATGTGAATGTAGCAAAATATGGACTCATAAGTATTTTTGACATGTCTTCATAAGCATGTATCCCCATTAAGAAACCAATAATTTATTTAGGTATTTGTTCCACTCTACAAGCATACAGACTACATAGCATGCGTAAGGCTATCATCAAACTGTTAGAAACTGCAATTTCATTTTAGGAAGGCTGAAACACTTTAAACTTTTTTTTCCTTTAGTTGGGCAGATAAGCTTATGGCCCTGGTGGAAAAGTGTTACCAAAACCTGGCCTATTTTTTGAACTGTAAAAACCAACAAATAGGCAAACGGTTTTCTCCTATGCTACCCTATTAAGATTGCATAAGTTAAAAATTATATTTGCAAATTGAATGAAATCAAACAAAAGGTCATAAAGTAATATTTATTATCCTAACCCTGACTAATCTAGAAATGGCATACAGAATTGCACATACAGTTGTTTAGATTATATGCAAAAGTGTGTATAAAATTCTTATCTATACTTAATAATAATATCAATAAATGCAAAGCTGAGTTGGTTGCTTAATACCTTTCACAGCAATTATTCAACCTATATTTTTGAGTAATCAAAAACTTCATAAACATTTTCCGGAGTACAGAAAAGAAGATAGAATATAATATTCTATTTTAAGAAACATACTATTCTTGGACAGTGAAACTCTTGTCTACATTAACACAAGTAAATACACTTTACAAAGGCCGATTTAAAATATTTTATATACATTAAGATGTTTTTAAGATCTTACCTCACTGTATCTAGGTATTTCTTCAATAGCACAATTCACACTTGGATCTGTATCAACAAAGAAGAGACTATCATCTACAGTCTTCACTTCCTCTTGTTTAGGAAGTTCCTCAACAACATCTTCTGGCCAAATGTCAAGTTCTAAGTCTGTCTCACATTCTGAACCTTCTAATGCATCGTCATTATGAATCTTTATAAGTTTCAGCATAAACGCTTTTACTTTTTGCTTGTAGCTACTAGCCAGTTTTTTGTCTCTAAACTGAACGCTCACAAGAGGTGTCCTGTTTACACAGCCTACTACACTACCGTCGCTATTCGATGTAGGAGTGTCTACAGAAATATCATCATTAAAAATTTTAGTGCTTTCTTCAGTACCTAAGTCTTCATCTACACATATTGTATATAGTTCACTAGAGTTGTCATTAGATCTCAAGGGTTGATTCGTTATTTTCCCTCCATTTCCCTCTTTTTCATCAGCATTGTTTTCTCCAGCATCCTCGCACGAACTGTCAATATTTATAACGTCTACAGGTGTTTCCTGGATAACACAATCGCTTTCAGCGGAATAAGGCACTACATCAGTATCTAAACGCCTTATTTTTGTCTCCAAAACGTCATCTTCACTGCTGAGTTCGANTTTTAAATTTACTAAAAGAGATTCTTCATCTAATTCCACAGGAGCTCGAATAATTCCTTGACTCTCAATGCTATCGTAAGGTATTTTTGCTGTCCAATTGTTTAACTCCATAAAGCTTACATCTAATAAAAAAGCGTTGGCATCCCGAGCACAGCCAAAGTAAACTTTAGCAAAAAAGTTTCCAGCAGCTTTGACATACTGTACCCCTTCAACATTTTTTAAAGTTTTGTTTATTCTTAACAGGTCCATTGGGACTCTGTTATTTGGTTGCGAGAGGCTTGACTGAAGAAGCACTGGATATTCTTTTTTTGTAAGGTCTTCATATAGAGCATGGTGGTCTTTAAAAAGACCGCGCTTATTTTTAATGAAAGTCATTTTTATTTTGCGGCTTTCGTCGTATTCAGATGAGGTCAATCTTCGTTTTCCCATTATTTTGGGAGCGGACACAGGGGCGGAGCTGAAGCCCTCACCCCCGTCGTCATCGTCCATTAATACGGAACACACTTATGGAATATAATTTTAAACTCTAACACAGTGAAAAATTAAGAAACAATGTCGTAAAAAAGGGCTAAAACCAAATAAATATAAATGAACTTGAAAAAAGCGCCTATTTATTTTGACGTTCCCGCCCTTTTTTCTGCACATTATATTTATGATCCACAGATAAGATTGGGGTGATCTGTGTTATGATCTGACATCTGACTTTTTGGGAGACTTTTTGGCGGGAACGCGAGGAGTGAAGTTGTGTGATTTGTTTTATTTTGTCTATTTAGTGTTTCTTCAGGTTTAAATGTGTAATAATGGTGGTTTATTATCTGCTTAATATCTGTGAAAGTGCACAAATGTGGGAAAATGAAACAAAGCCGCTGGACGTAACTTTTCGGGATCCTCCAAAAAGTCCACTGAAAAAATCTTAGTAAATGACCACCATTTTACTGAGATTATCTTTCATCCCATTTCATTACATTTAATTTCATCCCAGTTGATTAATGTCTCAAATTAATCATCTTCATATCATTTCACTCCATAATATCATTTTTCATAAAAATATGATTATAAATTAAAATAAGACACGACTTAAAGGTCTCAGTTACCAAGTCATAAAATCCCTTAAAAAAAATCTGACTTTTTGGCGGGAACGCGAGGAGTGAAGATGTGTGATGTGTTTTATTTTTGTCTATTTAGTGTTTCTTCAGGTTTAAATGTGTACTAACGGTGGTTTATTAAGTGTTTAATATCTGTGAAAGTGCACAAATGTGGGAAAATGAAACAAAGCCGCTGGACGTAACTTCTCGGGATCCTCCAAAAAGTCCTCTGAAAAAATCTCCGTAAATGACCACCATTTTACTGAGATTATATTTCATCCCATATCATCTCATCTTAACATGTTACATATTTCATAAAAAATATATAAAAAATTAGGCTGTATGGTATGATACCTTTGACTTTCCATTTGGAAAAATAAAACTACTACTTACTTACTACTTTACTAAATCGAGTTTTCAATGGTTTTGAATTTTAAATGCTAAAATGTCTTTACTGTTACAAAAAATTGCAACGAAGCATGTTAAAACATTAATAATAAAATATGAGCCGTGCGTTCTAGTTATATCCAATCGAAAATTGAACATTGTACCATCATTTTACGGTAAATATAATAATAACCTTAACCAATAAATTGTGTTTATCTGCTTGATATTATACAACACAAACCTATTTTGACTATACAGATGGCGAACAAGACCCGGCTCCAAAGTTTTTTACACCAAATGTACAGAATCTATTAAAGAGATTGACTCGGCCAGATTTTACTAAAGTTTTCCGCAAGAGAAACAATCAAGGTCTACATGCCCTTAAAACTCCCAAATATAAGTTTCTCACGAAAGAAGAGCTTGAATTGGAAATTGCTAAAGCTAATGAAAAAGCCGATGTGCTTCTTCAAATACCTCCTGTCCTCAAAGTGAGTAGTTTTCAATAATTTACGTAAAAAATTTTATTTGAGTCCAAACCCACGTTAAGAACACTTTCTGTCACTCGTGGTAATCACAACCCAGCCACTGCTGAGAACTAAGGTCGGAACACACATACAAATATATTGATTCCAGAGAATAAGTGCTATCTACTAAAAGTTAACTGTGTTATGTGATGTGAACTGTGTGTGATGTATGATTTAGCAGTAAATAAGTTATGAGGAAATTATCAGAAATGGTTATTTAGAACACTACAACTGAATTGCAGTTTGTGATCAAAAAATTAAATTAAGCCGTATCTAAGGGATGAAAGTACATGAATGTTTAAAGGCGAATGAAAGGTATAAATAAGCATTGGCCAAGTAACAAAAGTTATTCTAAATTTTAAATTTACAAAAAAATCATTTCAGATTCACAAACCCATTGATGAGGTTTTATCAAGAGACCCAGCTTTGATAGGATATGACACATCAAAATATTTGTTTACCGACATCACATTTGGTATTGCCAATGAAGAGAGGATTATTATTGAAAGGTATTTAATGCATACAAAAGTATACTAAATTGACAAATATATTTATCACCATTACTTTACCTATAATATGTAATTTAAATAAATAACAAGAAGACAATTTAACATCATTGTGTCTTCTACTTGTCAACTTTTTTTATAGACAATATTCATACACTCAGCATTATGAAAATACAAATTTTATTTTGGTTGTTGTCCACGTTCACAAGGAAAAGATATCACTAACATAATATTAAGAGAACAAAAAATTATTATTTTTAACCCACTTCATCTATATTTAGTTTTAAAAATCCAAGAAATGAAACTTGAGAAATAAGGAGAGCACAAAGTAAGTTTAATTTTCTAATTTGCATAATGGGATCGTGGTTCATATATATGAAAAACAACAACATATATAATTTTGTTTATTTTCAGAGACACTGATGGAACTCTGCGCAGTTGTGATCATGATATCAGAAAGAAATTAAATCAGGTAAGCTATATTATTATAATGTTATAATGGAGAACAAAAGCTCATACAATTAGAAGGAAAATTTTATTTCTACATTTAAAATACATTCTTATACTCTTCAGGTGTACTTTCCAATAACCGGACGCAAAATAAGAGAACCACACATGTTTTCTGATGAGGAAAAATTTCACAATCTGCTGGACAGGGGAGAGTACGAGTTTGTTCTGGATCGAGCCTGCATACAATATGAACCGGACGAACCAATATTCCAAAAGATTACCAGTATTACATACCAGCATGTGGACAATAATAAATGTTACAACACATTAAGGTTTGAATATAAAATATTTATTGCCAATGTTCATTCCTTTTTGCTGCTCAGAAAATTTGGCCAGAACTCACTACTGCACTGTAAGAAAAAATGCCAAGGTGGTGGAACCCACTAATATGAGCTTACAAGATACCCCTTACCAACTGTAATTACGAAAGTGACATCATAGTATCCCTGGTATTGTTGACGCACATGCAGGGAACAAATCTTGAGGCAAGTGACCTCATCTGAACACTTATGGTAATAAATAAACAAACGGACTTGTAGCCAATGAAAATTAGATAAAAATAAGTTTATCTGATGCTACCCAAATTCCCAGTGCTAAGATATAATAGGTAGTATAAGTGTTAAGATATAACCTGCATTCAATAATAGTTTTGGTTGTGTAACATTTTTGTAACTGGGTGGGCAAGTTTTTTATGGGCCATTGTTGCTAAACAGAAGAAAGCTAAAAATGTGTCGTCGTGGCCTAAAGGATAGGACGTCCGGTGCATTCGTGTTGAGCGATGCACCGGTGTTCGAATCCCAGGCAGGTACAAATTTTTCTAACGAAATACGTACTCAACAAATGTTCACGATTGACTTCCACGGTGAAGGAATAACATCGGGTAATAAAAATCAAACCCGCAAAATTATAATTTGCATAATTACTGGTGGTAGAACATCTTGTGAGTCCGCTCGGCTAGGTACTACCGCCCTGCCTATTTCTGCCGTGAAGCAGTAATGCGTTTCGGTCTGAAGGGTAGGGCAACCGTTATAACTATACTTAGATCTTAGAACTTATATCTCAACGTGGGTGACGCATTTACGTTGTAGATTTCTATAGTCTCCAGTAACCACTTAACACCAGGTGGGCTGTGAGCCCGTCCACCCATCTAAGCAGTAAAAACAATTTATAAATTATACTGACTTACCAAGCTTACTTAAATAGCTCACTTCTCTAAGAAAGCTATTTTGCAATGTGAAACAGTATGTATGTACAGTAACATGACCTTTTATATCCTCACAGATCAACAAGACACTTTGGTTCAATGACTTTTTACCTGACATGGCATCAGAGTATTGATAATCTGATGCTCGAGATCATACAAAGCGGTTTCATCAGAGAGGCGGTTTTGCTTGCTGCGCTACGGCACGATGTTCACAACGACGTGAGGGAAGGTACCGCGGCACAGTCTTTAGCTCAAGAAGTAAGCACACATTCCCTATAATATTAATGAATTGATAATAGGCCATTGTTTTTGCCTCTGTTTTTATGATATAATTTCGTACAAGCTCTTTACTTACACTTGCTCTGTGGGAGAGAGACAGATCACCCCTCTAAATCTCACCAAAAAGGTTTGTTAGTCATCAGAACACTGTTATCCAATTCTGAAATTGTATCTTATCTATACATATAAATAAAATTGGGGTGTCTGTTTGTAATATTGAAACAATCGCTTTTTACTACATGCATATGAATATATATACGGTACATACAGCAAAATAAGATTTTTTTACAATTTTTATCTGTCTGTCTGTCTGTTTGTTCCGGCGAATCTCTGGAACGACTGGACCGATTTTGACGAGACTTTCACTGATAAGTAGCTGATGATATAAGTTATTTTTCGGCCTTCGCGCTTCGCCCCGCGGCGTCACCCGCGGTACGACAATAACCGCGGCTAACATCGCGGGACTCAGCTATCGATAATAAAATGTAATGTTTCCGAAGCGAAGCGAAGGCGGGTCGCTAGTAAATTATATAAACGTAAATATTAAATACCCTAGTCAATTGTTTTAATGGCTGTGTTACTTTCACAATGTTGTAATCTCTTCCAGATTTTTACCACACCTCTGCTGCTATCTAAACTAGAACGTCTCACTGAGGAGGACATTCAGCTTGACAGTAAATGTATTCAGTGCATAGAGAAATATATAGTGAGCAACTCGACGATAAAGAGTCAACATGAATTAGCGCTGCAAGGCTTCAAAGAAGATTTCCAGCACCTCTCCGAGCTTAGAAAGGGTTTAGAAAAAGCTCATGGAAACGTTTAATTTTGATTAGATGATGGATTGTGCATTAAATATTTTAGTTATGTAAGAAATTGTTGTTCTTTTTTTATTATAACTAACAAGAGAGTTATGGTATCTTGTATTAATATTTTGTATCAGATACTCAACTGAAGTTAATTCGTTGTTGAATAATATACATATAAGCAAAAGAAGTAAATTAACCCATAATACTGATTGCATTTAAATAGTTTGTTAAAAAATGTACTTCATAAACCATTTGAAATAATGCTTCTGTACCGTATGTGGTTAGATACGTATATTACTATGTTATTAAAATTTAATCTTGAACATAACATGTTGTTATCGGTAGGCCTCCCACAAGATGAACCGACGACATGATGCTATGCATAACGTTGGATGCAAGCAGCGCAGGACCGATCGTTGTGGCGAGGCTTGGGGGCCTATTTTTTTTTACCCTTGCACGCATACGAGCATACGACCCACCTGATGGTCACCGTCACTCATGGACTTCAGCAATGCCAGGGTCAGAGCCAAGCCGCTGCCTACCTATGCATGCCTATGTCCAGCAGTGGACGTCTGTGGGCCGATAGATAGATAGAACAAAATATGCTGGTGGTAGAACCTGTTGTAAGTCCGCACGGGTAGGTACCACCACCCTGCCTATTTCTGCCGTGAAGCAGTAATGCGCTTCGGTTTGAAGGTTGGGGCAGCCGCTGTAACTATACTGAGACATTAGAACTTATATCTCAAGGTGGATGGCGCATTTACGTTGTAGATGTCTATGGGCTCCAGTTACCACTTAACAACCAGGTGGGCTGTGAGCTCGTCCATCAAAGCAAAAAAAAATACTTAGATGAGATTGACATCGATCGTACTTATTATAACCTAAGCGCCATTTAATATATACGCAATAATAGGGTATAAAGTATGAAATTGCCGTTCTATTGTAATAGGTACTTCGAATTGACATAGAACCTTCATGGCTTGAGATTTTTTAGTAAAACTTTATTCAAATGGTACCTATGAGGTTCTTCTTTTAAAAAATGTTCAACATTCGATTATCGACTTTCAGTTGGGTTTTTTCATTAAGCTTAAACAAGATGCGATACTTCGAAAATCGAGTGATTTTTGACTAAGAGTTCCGACGCGGAACTAACGCTGCAGAAACAGCTTGCAATATCAAGCACCGTTTGATTTTGGTTTAAGCGCTTTCGTGATGGAAATTTTGATTTGAAGAACGAACCACGTGGAATACGGTCGGTCTTGTGATTAACAATGAATTGAAAGAGATGGTGGAAGCCGATCCGAGCCAAACTACCCAGGAGTTAGCGGCATGGTTTAACGTTACCTTACCAACAGTATTGAGTCATTTGCGTCAAATCAATAAAATAAAAAAATACGAAAAACGGGTGCCTCATAATTTGACTGATCTGCAGAAAGAAACTTGTGTTGCCTTGTTGAATCGATACAGAAGTGAAGGAATTTTGGATCGAATTGTGACATGTGATGAAAAGTGGATTCTTTACGATAACCGTAAGCGAAAAATGCAGTGGCTGACCCTAGGTCAAACGCCGCAACAGTGTCCTAAAGCAAAGCTTACCAATAAAAAGATAATAGTAACTGTTTGGTGGTCTCAGCATGGTGTTATGCACTATAACTTTCTCCGATCTGGCCAAGGAATAACGGCATGTCTACGTGCCAAACTCCAAACAAGGATAGCAAAACTTGCAATGAAAAATAGCCCCGACTCATGAATCGATCTTCGCCATTATTGCTCCATGATAACGCGAGACCTCATACAGCACGAGAAACCGTTTTAACTCTACAGGAACTGCAATTAGATATTATTCGTCACGCTCCGTATTCGCTAGACCTTGCTCCAACGGACTACCATTTTTTTCGTGATTTGGAAAATTTTCAACGTAATAAAAAGTTTTCTTCCCAGGAGGCAGTACAACATGCTTTCACACAGTTTGTAGAATCTAGATCACCAGAATTCTATGGCAAGGGATAAATGGCCTTCCTATTAGATTGCAGCAATGTATAAATAATAATGGTAGATATTTTGAAATAAATATGCTAAATGAAAAAAAAAAACTAATTTCAGTTTTTCAGTACAAATCGGCAATTTCATACTTTAACCCCTAATATATTACATACGAAAACTGAATGTTGGAAACAAAATATAGTAACATGACAATAGTATTAAACAGCTAATCGTAAAAGTAGTCTGAAGTTATGCCTAGAAATAATCACAGTGTAATATATTAGTTATGGTAATAATTTCGAACAAAATATAAACTTGATTTTGAAATATTTCTGGTTCCATGGAAGTCCGAGCTTGACTTTCAAGTTCCAATCGTCAATCCTATTGTCAATATTTTTGAAATGTCATTTTAACTAATATTTTTTTTAGTTACAAAACTAAATAAATGCCCACAAAACGCAAGCTTAGGTCCTTTACGCCGTTATTAATAGAAGCGGAAAAAAGATCTGTAAAAAATGGAGTTCACCACGCCGTGTTTACTTCTAGGTTTGATAAATACGTCGGGGATTGGAAGAACGATTTGAAGGACGGTTAGTGTCGTTCTAAGGTTATTAATTTTTATTTATTGGTTACTGCTCACTGGTGGTAGGACCTCTTGGGAGTCCGCACGGGTAGGTACCTCCACCCCGCCTATTTCCGTCGTGAAGCAGTAATGCGTTTCGGTTCGAAGGGTGGGGTAGCCGTTGTAACTATACTGAGATCTTAGAACTTATATCTTGAGGTGGGTGGCGCATTTACGTTGTAGATGTCTATGGGCTCCAGTAACCACTTAACACCAGGTGGGCTGTGAGCTCGTCCATCCATCTAAGCAATAAATAAATAAAAGTATATATATGTAAAGTAAGCTAGCTGTTCGCATTAGAGAATTACACTATTGCTCCTATGCTATGTAGTCTATTAAATAATATTATCTACTGAATTGTTCAGGGAAAGGCGCTTTTGTCACTGTTTCTGGAAAATTATACGAAGGAGACTGGTATAAAGGTTTTAGGTATGTAGGTGTCGATTATATTTTATACTAGCTGTACCGGTCCGCTTCGCTGGGCATTTAAAATTAACATTATTATTTCTCACCCCCACAAAGATGCTCATCATTGGCGCCCCCGAAACTGGTGTAGGGATTCCAACACTCATATATGTATTAGCCTAGTATAGATTATAATATGTAATAATTTAGTTTTAACTATTTTCACTAATCAATTTTAATTCATTATAAGGCTTCTACTAATAGTCTACCGTCAAGTTCGCTCTTAAATATGATTTATATTTTATTTTCGTTGTTGCGGAATTTATATTACATCGGAAAAAGAAACCGTAAAACGGCTTTTAAATTTATAAATACCTATAGAGAAAATTTATTAAAATAGGTAGGTATTCATTTACACTTTGATTCAGGCACGGTTTTGGTGTCTTAAGTAATAAGCTGCCTGATAATACCTATAAACTGGAGTACCGTGGCGAATGGGTTCGCGGAAAACCAGAAGGTGTCGGTTGGCGTTATTACGGCAATGAAGACGTTTACTTCGGTTTCTGGAAAAGTGGTCAAAAACATGGGTACGGTAAAATGTGGTATTCTGACAACACCTTTTACACCGGGTATTGGAATAAAGACCAGAGAGAGGGATTGGGAATGTTTGTAGAAGGTGAGTCTACATATGCGTGTTTTGCTGTTATGAAACTAAATTGAAAATAATTATAGTACAATAAAAGCTTTGTCGAATTTTAAGGATTTTAACGAAAACCTTTTTTTTGCCTTTGTCCTATGTCAGCATATGAATATATACACGTGTACATATTATGTACTATATGTTATTACAAATTATCATACCCGATCCTGTAAACAGAATGGTAAATAGTCGACGTCGCCCAAAACACGTCATTACGGATCCTCCCGATCCATTAACGGTGCCTTTAGGTACCACAAGCACCGGTTACGGTCTCGTCGAACCCGTCGCTTGCGAGCGAATTAACCCACAGACACAGCCCACTGAGTTTCTCGCCGGATCTTCTCAGTGGGTCGCGTTTCCGATCCGGTGGTAGATTCTGCGAAGCACTGCTCTTGCTAGGGCTAGTGTTAGCAACACTTTGATTTGAGCCCTGTGAGCTCACCTACACGTTAGGATGAAGCTAATATAGACTCTCAAGGCTATCGGCATAGGTAAGAAAAAAAATATTATGAACTTTTCGATATCGTGTCTATGCTGAGATTTTTAAAGGAATCAATGGCAAGTTTAGGTTACTAAAAAAATGTAATAGGACACTACTATTGGTCGATGAGGAAGTAGCAGTTAAGTATATAGCTTTGTAGCCGGAGTTAAATCGCCAATGATGACAATTTCAAGTAGGCTACGTATGCAAGTAATATGAAATGCTTGGAAAAGAGGAAGAGGTAGAAAACCTACGAAACCTACCTAAGAAAAAATGGATGGATTGCGTGAAAGACGTTATGTGTAAGAGGGGAGTGAGCGAAGAAAGGTATATGATAGAGGAGTATACATGTTGCGCCGACCCCAGGTGACTGGGAGAAGGGCAGGAGAATCTTGATGATAATGAAAACTTCGAAAACTATACTCCAGTCTCAGAATACGATTAAAATTTTCGTAGTTAATGGAAACTGGTATGAAGGCCACTGGGAAAAAAATTTGAAGAGCGGTTTTGGCAGATACTATCACATGCACACTGGACAACTACAGGAGGGCTGCTGGGTGGAAAACATCTGCGTCAAGTCAATGATGTTAGATATTGATGTGAGGCAGTATTGTGATAGGCCCACACAATATCCGATACCAATGGTTTGTAACTTCGATTAAGATTCAGACGAAAATACATTGAAAAAAAATCCATATTCAAATCACGTTGGAAATAATCAATTCATCGTCATAGTTAACTTTACAAAAAATAGTTGGAATCTAGCAGAAAAACATTAGAACAGGAAGCGCAGAAAGTGCACTAATTAATACCTATTTTTGGTTAGTAGGTATAGGACTACATAGTCCCTTCTCGTAAAAAGCCATTAATAAATTCACCGGTCAGTGGGCAGCAGCGACTTTGGTGTATTCGGTATACCGAATTGATTTTGAAGCGACCAAAGTCGGGCAGTATACTGCCCACGCTACTCTTGCCTATTTTTACCGCGAAGCAAACATGCGTTCCGGTTCGCAGGGTCAATACAACGGAGACTTCAACCACATCACTCAGGGTTAATCGTATTCAAATTGTTATTTCTATGGGCTACCTACACTATAACTTAATACATACCTATAAAATAGAGTAGGTATATTATTTCTTTGCAAATATGTAATACTTCTGAATATGTTTATTTTTGGGTAGGTACATATTTTATGAAGGGGTTTATGGGATAATATTTACGTTTGAAGTGCACTGGTTTAACACATTATGAATTTACGTTTGCATTTATCGTTCATTGTCTTAGGCGCTTACTAAGTATTCTGTGTAGTCATTTGTGATATTGAAACCGACCATTAAGCTAACCATAACAGAATATTTAGGTACTTGCAAAGATAAAACTTGACCTCGTTTCGGCATATAGGTAATATTAAGCTATATTATGTTACTACTACTAGTCAAAATAGACTCGCATTGCTGGCCGATCTGCGATTTGCCTTTGATCCGATCGCTACCAAACTTCAAAGGATCCTCGCTGGACCAATCTAAATCTGAAGATTTTATCGAAATTAGCCGTGTCGAGGTTTTTAAGGAACATCACATCGACTTCTTTAAACTAAGTAAAAGATGTATACATACTTACACCTAATTAAAAAGAATGGCGACAATATACCGAGAGTTTAGTACCTACGCGAACCGTTCATCAGAAAGATGACAGAGCCGATAACTTCTGAAGAGTAACGTTTAAAAAGTTATCTACCTTGTGTTGACGGTTAGGTTAGTTACGCGGGACCAATCGCCCGCCACTACCTACACGATACAGATTGCGGCTTCATAACAACGCTAAGTATTTCTGTATGAAAATTGCTTTCGGTATATTTTGAGGTTATTGTTAGCATTATTAGCGTTCAGGCTTCAGTGGCAGTTAAATCTGTATTCAATTAGACAGGTTTTTTTTTTTAATTTAGTGTGATTGGTCTGACTTGGCAATTTTCTTTTCCTTCAAACCCTAATCTATTAAAAAAACAGTAGACTTGTAAAGTAAACAAGTGGTAGTCTTTTTAGTGAACTTTTTACGCATGCACCTAGTTTTAATTTAGATATTGTTCTTTATTTAAATTAGTTATCACTTTCAGGAGCAACTTCAGGACTCTCGACTTATATTAGAAAAGAGCGAATTCTGGGTAAAGCAAAAAATTGGTAGAATTGATAAAAAATTACAAACGTGCATTGATAAAATGAATTCAACGTGACTAAAGATTTTGTAACATAATTTTATACACATACAGTACATTTAAAAAATATTTATTTGATATAATTCTTATTTTATTACACAATGTCATTATCACATCACAATTTACATAATAAAATGGATTAAGTAGTAGCTAGCTATTTATTTAATTTTAATTGTAAACAGTACATTTTTATGCCTCTGAATTTGTGTTGGCAGTAATCATACCGAAACTATCATTTCGTTCCACATTAAGATCAGAGCTATTCATACGATACCGATTTTCAATGATCATGTTCGAGATTCGTTAGGAATCACATATTACTAATCAATGCTACGACATCAGTGACAGGCTATTAGTGTTGTGGTAAATTTCAATGAGGTTATTCTATCAGGGCCCCCGATTCATTTCCCAATACGAGTGAAATTTTACATTACAATTTTTATTACATTACATTGAAGATCATTTAATTTTGTACACAAAGATGAATAGTAATTTCAGGTTATAATGCCAAGTAAATCTTTTTATAATTGAAGCCAAATGCATCATTCATGGAGCGATAAGCTCATTAATGTCTTCATAAAAACGCAAAACTCTGTTTTGGTTATTAGATAAATTTCAGCAAATTGTTTTGAAATGTTGTTTATCATTGACATAAAGGCCTTCGAAATTGTTTTCGTAATGATTTGTTAAATGCGAGAATATTATTTCTTCTGTAATTGACCATTGCTACACCACTTCTAATGAACCCGATTAACAAATGGCTATTTAATTGGTGTAATATTCAGTATTAACTACCTACTCATAATGATTCCAAACATTAATATTACATTAATTTACTTATCCCTTCAAATTATCATGCCATATCACTTCAATTTAAATTCAATTCATAGATTATCAACGAGTCGATTTTATATTCTTTGGATTTTATTTTTATTGATTTTCAAAATTTAATCATACAACATTGAATACATCGTTGACCAAACAAATTTATGGAGATTCACTTCTCAACCTTGTCATGTTTAGATAAACATTTGACCGAAAATTAAAATAAACGTAAGTATTTTAATGAGATTATTATTATATTAAGTTTTGAGACCGGTACAAAGATAACAAAGATACACGTAGATCCGTAGCTGAAAATAAACGTAGAAACAACGGATACAATGAAGGCACGTGTTATCGCGCATTCGACGTCGTCCAGTTTACATGTTTAAGTACTATTTTACAACTAAGTACATAATTTTTAATAAAACCAATAAAAGGCTAAAAACAATCCCAGTAAATAGTAAAAAGATCAGACGACCCGACTTTGGTCCAGCAACGTTAAGCTGTTCATTCTGGCGTCGTGGTCGCCCATTTCGATCTGTTCTTTGAGCAATTCTAATTCTTTGATACCTGTCACCGTGACTTCGTACTTGTGCGTCGCCAGGGACATGTAAAAATGTATTGCGAACGCCAAAAATACAATCATAACAGGTATAAGGACCACACAGGCCGACCAAGCTGCCGTCGGACTCAAATCGTAGAATTTAACCCAACATAGTATAGCTATCTCTATCAAGAATAAGATTAAGCCTAAGAGGGTCGAAAAAGCCCAAGCCACTTCGATGTACCAGTGGAGTCTCTCGTGTGGCGACTCATGGACGAGCGCTATACTATGCAAGTTGCCGACTGCTTCGATGTTTGGCAAAATGCAGGTGCTAATCATGAGCGCGAGCATGTGGACTGCGACTAAGAGTGTTGTGCACACCGTGAAAGCGACGAGCATCTCCTTTGGTACTGCAGTGGGGGCTGGATTTAATTGTACTTCGACCATAGCCACCTGAAAATAAACGAACCCATTTATGTTTTAAATCGAAATACAATAATAATACACGTATGTATAATTTGATTATAATATTGAGTACATACGTGTTTTAAATCGAAATACAATAATAATACACGTATGTACTATTACTTAATAATTTGATTATAATATTGAATACATGATTATGTATACCAATAAAAAATCAAATATTTTTTTATTTTCAAACCGTACTCTGACATAGATATCGAAACAATGATGTTAGAATAACCTGGCGATAACTTCGTAGATTATCTCTAACAATTACTACCTATATTCACCCTATAAGTAGGGGTGTGAATGTGTAAGTGTGTTTGTTCCTCCTTTTTTCACGTCAAAACGAAACCTATACCTTCCTGGTTTTGTAAACTTAGGAAATTGACATATTTAAAAAAAAGAAGAGATAGTTAATAGGGTGACACGCGGGCGAAACTGCATTACAGCCAGTAATATTTTAAACACATAATTGTACGATTCATTAACAATAATACGAATAGAAGTTGAACAACGCCGAAATTTATGATTAGTAGATTTTAAACGTGACTTCTCTTTGTCATAATCGATGAGTTCGACGAGAACGGTGACAATTTTATTGTAGTAGTAGTTCTCACGTATCCCTCATGAATAATACTTTTTCCGGTTGAAATATACCGTGTGCCGTTTTCTGTGGCCTGACAAAGTGGATGCGTAATTTAATGACCATCAGTTAAGCTGTAATATCGTGAAATGTGATTAACAGATTCACTTTCGCTTTTATAATATTATGATATTTATTTTATAATATAAGCAATAGTATGGATAATATGTTAGGGGGCGTCCATTAATTACGTGAGGTGTTCTAGGGGGGAGGAGATCAAGCTAAATATTTCCAAATCTCACTTAGGAGGGAGAGGAGGGGTTTTGGCAAATATCACGTAATTATATTTCTCGCAGAAAACGGTGTAAAATTGCGTGAAAATTTATTTCTAGAATAAAATATGGCCAAATCTGAGAAAATAATATTTTTCGTATTCATCCGAACTTCGCAGAGCAGCAGAGCAAGTTTTTTTTCTCAATAATCCAACACGTTTACCGTCCAAATAGAAGTTTTGAAGAATCTTGCGTTAGATTAGAGGAGGGGGAGGGAGTTGAGAAAAAATTTACGATATCTCACCAAGGGGCAGAGGGGTTCAAAAAATTCTCTAAAACGCCTCACGTAACTAATAGACGCCTCCCTTACTACAGTTCTTACCATAGCGAAACCGGAAAGTAGGGCAGATGTTTTGCTGGAAGCCTTCAGTTTCGCCCTACTAAGCTGCAACTTCCTCCACGAGAGGTACGCCGGCGTATGAAGCCCGTCCCCCGACTGTATCGGCGTCTCACCCGACATAACGCACTTGTGCTAATGCAAGACAATGACAAATTAAACTAATTTAGTAAACGGTTTGCGTTTAATAGTGTGAGAAAGGTTAAAGGGACCTTCGTCACTAAGACCATCTAAATCAGGCCTTGCATGATAAGCCTGTCTGGGCTATTTTATCATGCAAAAACCCGATTTGGATGGCCTATCTGAGCTATTTTCGGATGATACAATTACCTGTGAAACTTATATTTGATTTTTGTTCAATCTGTAATCACCAGGGTTATACTTATACCTAGAATTCAGCTTAGTACCACTAAATAAGCTAGGTAACACTAAGGCCCTTTTAGTTCTAGTCTAGAGGACAAACAAGTGTTAATGTTATTAACATCTCAAAATTAAAAAAATCCACAAAAATTAATCAAAAGCCCATAATTGTTATAAGAGTAAGAGTTAATTTTAATATGGTTTATTTTAAATACAAAAATAATTTAATTACGCAATTTTCTAAAACTAAACTTTGTCATTTCCTTTACTTTGTGTTTTTGTTTATCATACGTTAGTTACATTATTACATTTTAACATTCCATAGGTCTGTTGTTAAAAATGTTAATAACAAAACAAACAAGATATTATAGTACATAAATTGAACCTAAATCTTAAGTTATTTGTAGGCAGCGGCTTGGCTCTGCCCCTGGCATTGCTGAAGTCCATGAGCGACGGTAACCACTCACCATCAGGTGGGCCGTATGCTCGTCTGCCTACAAGGGCAATAAAAAAAAATCTTATCAACCACACAAATTGAAAAATATTATTACCGTTTAAATTTGTATGAACTAATCTGTTCTCAAAGGCTCACTATAACATAATTAAAGTTAAATAGGCACAAGTCATACATATTATTAAATAGTGAACTAACACATGGTCGGTATTGATAACTCTTAAAGTTTTAAAGATTGAGTTCTTATACTGGATAATAATTTTTAATAAAGTTATTTTTATTCAATATATTTTGTAATTATTTGGAATTTACTACTTTATGTGGTAGTGTTTTGAAGCATTGCAAGTATTTGAGAAATTAACTTCAGCCTAGTATTACTTGACCATATAACTTGAAATAGAGAAACCCATCTGGCCTAAATGAAAAGTAAAATTCATAAAAACTGTTAATCCGTGGTTAAAGATATTCAAATTTCTCATTTACGATTAGCACAAAGTACATAGATAAACTTAAGCAGTTTTTCAGTTAGAACAATCACTTTTCACATCACTGACTGCTGCTATAATACTGCCTCTGATTAAATGAGCCATATAGATAAATTCAACAAGCACAACATATAGAACCCAAGCATGACAAAATGAAGATGAAAAAGAAAATTGTGCTATCATCTTTGACTATAGCACAATTATACCTAACAAGGTCATTATTATTTTGGATATTTCGGCTAATAATTATAACAGGTGCCATACAAACCAATAGTGTGCACTAGAGCTAAATCTACTTATACTATCAAAGATACAGCTAAATGGTGTTTTTTTTTATTGCTTAGATGGGTGGACGAGCTCACAGCCCACCTGATGTTAAGAAGTTACTGGAGCTCATAGATACCTACCACTTAAATGCGCCACTCACCTTGAGATATAAGTTCTAAGGTCTCAGTATAGTTACAACGTCTTCCCCATCCTTCAAACCGAAACGCATTACTGCTTCACGGCAGAAATAGGCAGGGTGGTGGTACCTACCCGCGCGGACTCACAAGAGGTCTTACCACCTTGCCACCAGTAATTACGCAAATTATAATTTTACGGGTTTGATTTTTATTATACACGATGTTATTCCTTCACTGTGGAAGTCAATCGTGAACATTTGTTTAGTACGTATTTCATTAGAAAAATTA